ATGAAGACGCAGAAGCGGCAGCAGCAGCAGCAACACGCGGGAATCGGGCTGATCACCCCACGAGTCAAAAGAGCAAACGAAGTCAGATGATGCCTCTGCGCGTTGTGGATGTCTGTGCCAGAAGAAAACAAAAATAAGAACCTTTATCTGGAATTAATTACGCATTCAGATAATTCGTTAATCCGAAGTCACAAAACATTTATACGTATTTAAGACGCCAACACTAGACGTGGTTTATTTTCGTACACCAATAGTGGTGCAAATAAGGTACATGAAACCATTCTTTACGATTTTCTTAGTATGATTTCTTGTATTCGAAGAGCATTATTTTCAATAAAAGATCTTTAAAATCTCATCTTAATACTCTACTTCAAATAGTCGCATACATGATAATCGTTACGTTAATTCCTTCCAAGCAGATTAACTCAGCAAATTACAATCCTTTTGTAATATTGTTGGCAAGAATTTTTTTGTTATACATTCAAATGTGCTTAAATTAGCTTACAAAACCAGCAAATCGAAATCGTTCCGTTCTGTTTTAAAATACCATCTTTATAATATCCCATATAGTCAGTGCCCCGATGAGCTTATTTATTTATTTATGTATTTACGTCAAAAACAGTTAAAAACTTTGTGTGGCGTGCTATGGGGAGAAGTTAATTTGAAGTTACATTTATGTCCGGAAGCAAAACGAGGGGTAATCTCAGCATTTGCTCGAGAATCAGGGAAACTGGACGAAAACCTGAACGAGATGGGGGTCATTGACTCAGAAGCTGAAGTACAATACTGGTTACAGGTTCTTTACAATTATACAGTCCAAATAGTAAATAATACATGAAATGTCATTGTTAAAACTAATATTACTTTCCTTTTGGATAGTCTGTATAGTCTCTAATTGTATAGAAACGGTTGTTTTTAGCCGAACACTCAAAATCACTAGCACTCTTATCCTCAACGAGTTCACTTAAAAATAACGAACAGGCGTCACTTTTGATCCACAGGAGGCCTTATATCTAGACGAGTCATCTAGTTGCGTGGGTGGAGTGGTTCAAAAGTCGAAAAGAATACGAGTAATAAATTTCGCGCGAAGTTCACGCTTGCTTCATCACGCACAAGGAATTTCCACAAAGCGCGTGGGCACCCAGTGCGGCGGCGCGTTGCCTGGGTCCCAACCGCAAAACAACAGCCTGCCCTTCCGGTTACTTTCCCACAGTAAACTCCTAATCTTTTCCCGCAGTTAACGATCGTCACTGACATTGTTGTGCGTAAGTTATTGGGACTTGCCTGTTTTTCTCCTCATAAATTTCCAGCTAATTAATATAATCAAAGGGAAGCGAATAAACGTTGTTCATTTTGTTTCGAATGCAGAAAAGTAATACTAATTTCACTTTGTATTCATTTTCAAAAACGTGTATCGTATTAAATTTTGTACTCGCATATTGGTAAATTTAAATTATCTGCTATTATTCTCGTTTCATCTTTGTATCTGTCACTAAATGTTATTTCCAATAAGTAACTTGAAAGTCATTTTAAAAAACGTATTTCTTATTTAAGCGTATAGAAAATGTCATTACAAGATGATGCATTGTTTGCTACTCCATTGGTGACCTTGTGAAACCATAAAATTCCTGTTTGTCGTAGTTTTGTAGTTAAGGGTTGTCATGATGTGCGTGATTTTTATTTTTTTTTTATTTTAAAAAAATAGTCACTCCTGATTTCAACGTAATTTTTTCCCTCATGAAATAAAAGTGAAAGTAAATTTATTGAATTTCGTCCGTCATTTTGCTTGGAATGAAAAATATAATACAAATAATAATGTAATTTTCGTAATGACTACGCATTATTTTCCACAATACATCTAATAAATGGAAATACCATGGGAATTTCCTTTCATTCTCAGATGTGTTATCGGGTATCAATATATCTAGGGTCGAAATTCCACCATGAATTCTCACTAAAAATATGTCACTCCCTAAATAATATTACGAAATGGGTTGCTTAAGTTGCCTCATGGTTTTAGTATTCCCATATTTTACTTGTTGGTCCTGAGAAACCAGAAAAATCCCTCCTAAAGTAGCCGGAGATACTTTGCGGTACACCAGCTCGTAAATACATTCCTTAAACGTTCATCCGTGCTCATTAAACTCAGACGAAATTATATTATTCTGGTCTTTTTATTGTGCCTTCAAATAAGTTAGGAAAACAGTTTTTTTTTCTAATATTCTTCGACATTCTTTATTGCACTGCATTTATTAAGATTCGGGAGGTATCAGTGTCACCAAATGGCAAAACAAATAAACAAAATAGAAAATTTCAATTTTTTATGGCTGTCTTTCCGGGTGCCGGGATGAATATTTGACGAACACTCTTTATTCTGAACTTAAATGGAGTGAGTGAATTTGTTTCCGTGCTTGTCAACAACGTGAAGGTCGTTAACTTCGTAAGTGTAGTGTATGTTACATTCTAAAGAGTGTCAGTATTCCTCCGCCATGGAACATTTTCTGATTTTTCCCTTCCATGTATCTCCACGAGTGGGGCACCGCCTCAGCTGTGACAGCCTCTTTAAGCGGTATGTACGGTAGTGTAGTGCATGTCGGTGCAAGTGCCTAAGGGGAGAGGATGGAAGAAGGATGGCGAAGGAAAGATCACGTGCAGTCTATGGCCCGTTTGTTAGGGTACTGCTGGCGTTTGAGAAACGACGCGGCATTCGCCTGGTGTTGATGAAAAAAACAATGAAACCCATCAGAGCAGTCGGCCGCTAGAATTCTCCTCCAGAA